GTCGCCGGAATATGCAAGACGCTGTACGAAATCACTAAGTTCGTGGAACCTCTCGTCATCAATCACGGTAGGAAGAAGAATCTGCGCGAGACCATGTACAAGTTTCAATCCCTGTGGCATACGGTCGACGGTTGCGAGGGATTCGAAACTTGGTATCAGGTCGTAGGTTACGGCTTTCACCGACTCATCGGAAACGTGTTCTGCGACCGTCTCCGATGGTATCACTCGATCATGTTTACGCGGTACGTCGTCTACTATCCGATCAAGTACCTGGTCTGGCAACCGATTCACGGCGACTGGGCACCGACGTACGAGGACGACGTCTGTGTTCGACTTCGTCAGAAAGCACCTCATCCTGGCGATCGTCGTCCTGCTGGCCGCTCATCTCGTACAGACTATCGGTCTTCCGGCGAGCCATGAAGTCCGTTCACCGGGAGATGGTGTACCAGCTGCACAGGTTTGATCCGGGAAACAGATCCGTCACCCACAGGCGGTTGGCAAGGAGATTAAGGCACTTCTTTCACGCAGACTGAAGGTCGTCTCTTCGTGATCGTCTCCTTCGAACGCGGCCGACATGCTCTCGTCCTTTTTGTCGATGAACGCCTTCTCGGCCGCCGTACGGTTTGCGGAGTGCATCCTTGCTCCCGCGCATACGGCGGCGAACACGATAACCATCACGATGATCGCCACGCTGCATCCGATCATCTCCAGCGTACACGAACGGTTCTCTACATCCGCGGATTTCTCCGTTCTCACGACACCCCACAGGTCCCAAATTCAACATCGGAGTAAATTTGCGATCGATCTTCGTGTCTTCGCTTCTGATCGTCTCTAGCAGGGTTGAATCGGAGACGGCGATCGACCCCGAAGTTCTTTCCAGCACCATGAATCCTCCTACTACCCGTTCGACGGTCACCCGATTCAGACGGATAGTGCCTTCGGAAAGAAGGGGAGACGCCCGAACCCAGCATTCGGGGGAGCCTCGACGTGAGTCTCGTTCGAGCCGTTCGTGTAACTCAAACATTTCAAAGTCACGTTGAACGCCCTGCCAACTCTGGTCACGTCTTCGTCGTCCATCTCCGGTCACGTCTTTGTCGTCCAACTCCAGTCACGTCTTCGTCGATCAAACAAAGTCACGTTGAACGCCATGCCAACTCCGGTCACGCGCACCGACGAATTGGATCGCTTCTCGCAAGACGACGGATCTTCCTCCGACGCGTCGTCCGGCACGACCACAAATTTGTTCCTTATTTTCGAACCGAACTTTAAATCTCCGAGACTTCCCGACAGCTTCCGGCACCGGCCCGGCGAAGCCGATATCAACATCAGCGCGAGTAACATTGTAGTCGTAATAAGCATGGTTGCGGTCTTCGTCGTCCATCGATCAAACAAAGTCACGTTGAACGCCCTGCCAACTCCGGTCACGCGCACCGACGAAGAGAGATCGCCTCTCGCTCCGACGTACCCGTCGCAGCGGAATTCGAATCCTTCAACGTGCACGTGGCTGTCGATCAAGAAGACGTTGCATCCATCCCGTCCATTGGCGACCGCGATGATTCCCTCTCCGCACATCGGCAGCACGGTCACGTTCGACAGGAAGACGGGTCCCAGATCGTAAGGCAGGACGCTCAGCAATGACGACTTCTCGCAAGACGACGGATCTTCCGCCGACGCGTCGTCCGGCAAGACCACAAATGTGTCCCTCATTTTCGAACCGAACTTGAAATCTCCGAGACTTCCCGACAGCTTCCGGCACCGGCCCGGCGAAGCCGATATCAACATCAGCGCGAGAAATATTGTAGTCGTAATAAGCATGGTTGCGGTCTTCGTCGTCCGTCGATCAAACGCTAATCTTCACAGTGTATAAGTGTGTTTCCGAGGACACCAGTTAACCGACCATGGACTTCTTCGCCTAAGATAAGTTGCGTTTGGCGCTGACGATAGGTCTGGCGGTCGCCGTCTTGATCGCAAGCTTGTTCCTGCTGAGCTGCTGCCCTAAAAGGCGCATGGACAATTCTGGAAGCTACCGACCGGTCGTGAAGGAGGGTCGAAGCTCGTACTACACCAACAGATTGTTCGAAAATCACGCTCGGACTACGCTTGTTTGAAAGTCGATTAAAGAAAAATAAGAAAAAAAAAACTGTCACCTGCCTTGATCTTTCTATGTTTGCCTGTCACTCGCTCATTCAACGTCAAGTTCGCAAACTTTCACACACTAAAAAAGTGTTTATGTATTTTTCCCCATCATTTATTTTTTTTGTATAAATTAGGAATACATGGTTTCGAAGCCGCACGGATGCCGTTTGACGATCACCCTCCTGTTTCTGACTATCGGTTCCTGGTCGGATAGAGGTGTCTCGTCGTCTTCCAGATGCAGGACGAGCATCGACTAGTTTCTGTTCATGCCTCTTCGTCCCATGATCTTTCTCTTGGTGTCTCCGTATTAACCCACATTATCGACGTCGTACCAGTCCTTTTCCGATTTGAACCTGTATTGAAGTCTGCGATCTACTTTGGACGACATCTTTTCGGTATGTTTCCCGATCTTGAATCGCGGTGTACTTATATGCTAAAATAGTTCTCACACGTCATCGAACGTTCATGACGTCAAGAGTACCAAAACTCGTTCCGCCAATAGCGTGCGAGATGTTATTGATGACGAAGCCTCGAACACCCCGTCGCTCAAAAAACACATGACGTCACGTCAGTGAAGTCGAGGGTACGCCAGCGGTCCTTTGGACGGATGACGTAGCGTTTTCAAGTTCTTTATCACAGCGAACCTTCGAAGGGTGGCACAACGTCCAAAGAATTCGCCATGGAGAAGGACACGAAGACGAAGATTAGCGTATCCAAAAAAAGCCGCAGCCGCCAAAATAAAGACGATCAGGTTAGATACTTCTTGGTTCGTCTCAGGTCACGAAGGGAACAGAGAGGTAACCCTTCGCGACAGGTTGAGCGAGACTGGTTGGGATGGGTGGAGGGTGATCGAACGGGACGAGACCGACGAACCTGAAGACAACGACGACGATGTCCTGCCCACGTTGACATACGGCGAGTCGGATATAAGGCTTTCGGAATTCGTCGGGACCGAGCAATCTCGCCGAGCAAACTCGCCGAGCGCTGCGATCGGTAGTCCGCCCGAAACAGTGGATACTGATGGATGCCGACACTCTCGTCTGTTACCACGAGAAGGAAGGAAGCATATTTCTCAATGCCCACCGACTCCCCGCGTACGTGTACCGAGAACTGTGATGCTCGAATCCCGATCGCATCCGATTCGCGTTTGCCACATTCCGGTAAGGTACGGGGATCGAGAGACGACGTTCGACGTTCGGGACGTCAGCGCCTTGTTCTACAAGGTGCTGCTCACCAACCACCCGGAATACGCGCATCCCGAGTCATACCGAAGAGCGCTGACGGCGAGCCTAAGGAAACCCCGCTGGAGGACCTCGGAACGACACAGGATACTGGTGCTGCCCCTACCGCGCCCTGCGCCGGGCGTGTAGTTTCGCGAGTTCGCCATGAGATCCGTTGACTTCACTACGGAAGCGAGAGATAGGCTGCTTCCTTTGCAACCCGGCAAATCGGGTGCGTTTTTTTTCGGCGAACCGGTCGTCAGAGATAAGAAAGGAGGAGAGGAGAAGGTACTCAGGGTGAGCGACGTCCTGAATTCGGCCGCCTATCGCAAGTTGTACTCCAATCTAGGGTGGAAGAACGCGCTCGAATTCCGGAAGTGCATGAACGCCGTGTACAGGTTCACGCGATGTCCCGTCGTCAGAAACGATCTGGCAGACGGCGAGGTCGATTTTCACTTCCAGGCTCCCCTTCTTTAGGGGGAAAAAGGTAGGATTCCTATCTTCAGTATGAACGTCATTGTTCACCGACGCGGCTGGCCACCTATGATGAAGGATTCGATGTTATGTTCACTGATCTCGTCCTGCTTCGCGACATCCCTCGTGGTTGACGTTCTTCTTCAGGCGAACGTACATCCGATCGTCGATTGGTACGCGATATTCCTGCCCGCCTTCCTGTACACGACGTTCGTCAAAGTCGGATCGCCATCCAGTCTGGTGTCGGCTTGCTGGCTGAGTCTCTGCGCGTCCGCCAACATTTCGTTTTTCACCAACCTGAAATTCCTGATCGACCTCGTCAGAAACGTGCTCGTCTACAAACTCGGACCGTGCGCCTTCGACGGTCGGGACGTGATGGAATGCGATACGTCCTTGGACTACTACGAAAACCTGCAGGACCTCAGCGCCAACAGCTTCGACGCCGCCGACTCCCCGACCAACAAGGTCGGACAACACTGGGCAATCGTTCTCACCGCCTCGCAGGCCGTCAGGTTCTGCGTCGTGGTCGTTCTTCAGAGTTTCCTGCTTTCGCGGAAAGGAGTCACGTTGTTTCGATCCGGCGACAAACGAGACGAGAAGGACGATCGATTGAGAGAGGTTCGACTCGCCGTCGAAAGAGTGCCGACCAGTCTGGCGGTTGCAGCGTCGGAGGAAGGAAAACCGGATTGCTGTTCCACGTCCATCGAAGAGGAACGAGCGACGAGAAGGGACGAGTTGGTCTTCCACAGCAAGGACCTAGGAGGTGGGCGAACAAAGTTGTTCGTTCTTCGCTGCGGCGATCCCTTGTTTGAATTTGAACAAATGTTGAATAATATAACTCTAAAAACTTGAATTTTTGCAAGGAGATGGCAGTAACGAGACGGCTGTGGCATATATTATAAAATATTTTCAACGAATAAGATATAGTGTTCAGTCAAATACATCCAGTGCAGGCGTCGATAAAACTAAAAGTTGCGAAGCAAAATAGCCCATAGAATGAGCAAGTGGGACGAGATTTCCAAAGGTTTCTTCGTGATGCGTGGTTTTCTGGCGAAGGGATTTCATCGCTTCACGATAGGCAACGCCGGAGAGCACGTTCGTTTTTACTGTGTCATCGGGGACAAAGGAAATACATTTCACCTAAGTCCGATATTTGAACAACAGAAGAAC